AACTCAGAACAAAACTACACGAGAAACTACCAGAATATTCACCAATTTGGTTGCATTGTTTTACATTCCCACCAGCAGGGTAAGAGGATTCCAGGCTCTCCACACTCTCACTGGTTCTTCCTATTATGTGTCTGTTATTTTCAACGCCAAATAGTGAATGTACAATGTTATTCTATTTGGGTTTTGATTTGCACTTCCCTAACGTCTTTCTGTGTCTGTTGTTCATATGTGTATATTTGTTCTAGAGAAAAGTTTATTCCAGTCTTTGCCAATTTCTAAAATCAAGTTTTTGTTGTTGTTGTTGAGTTATAAGAAGGCTTTCAATAGTGAATATTAGACCTTAATAAAAATATGAATTGCAAAATTTGTTCTCATTCTGTAGGTTGTCTTCTCTGTTCATATTTCTGTCCTTCAATGCATATATTTTTGAAATTTTTATGAAATTTTGTTTATGCTTCTTTATCACATATGCTTTGGTGTTTTATTTAAGAAACTGTTGTCAGTGGTCATAAAGAATTGTTCCTATTTCTTACCTAAGAATTTTTATACTGTTAGATGTTATATTTAGGTATTTCAATTATTTTGAGTTCTATTTTGTGTGTGGTTGGAGGTATGAGTCCAGATTCATTCTGTATATGGATGTTCAGTCGTTATAATACCACTTGTTTAAGAAACTACATTTTTCCATTAAAGTGTCTTGGCATCCTCATTGAAAATCAGTTGACTATAGCTATATGAGTTTATTTCTAGACTTTCAATTATATTTCACTTTTCTTATGTCTGTCCTCATTCCAGTACTGTCCTAATCCTGTAACTTTTGTAGTGTGTTTTGAAATCACAAACTGTGAATTCTCCATCTTTTTTTTTCAATACTAAGGACTGAACCCAGAATCTTGACACTGAGGTACATTTTTAGCCCTTTTATATTTTTATTTTTGAGACAAGATTTCTCTAACTTGCCTAGGCAGGACTCAAGGTTTGATTCTTTTGCCTCAGCCTCCCAAAGTTCTGGGGTTGCAAATATGCATCATTGCACTTGGCTTCTTCCAACTTTTACTGGATTTGTTCTTACAAGATTGCTTTAGCTGCTTCGTTCCACTTGCAGTTCTATAGTACAGTATTTTAGAAGCACCATCTCCATTTCTTTAAATAGTAATGTCTGAGATTTTTGTAATAATTACATTGATTCTGTGCATTGTTTGGGAATTATTTCTGTTTTAATAATATTAAGACAAATCCATGAATATGGGATACCTTTCTATTTATTTAGATCTTCTTTAACTTTTATCCATAATATTTTATAGTTTTTAGTACACCAATATTTCACTTTTTGAATAAATTTATTCTTAATTATTTCACTCATTTTGATGCTGTTGTAATTACACTTGTTTTCTTAATTCTATTCTTATATTGTTTATTGTGAATCCAATTTTTGTATATTGTTTTATGCTCTGCAATCTAGATGAACTCTATTTTGCCTATTATATTTTTAATGAATCCTGTAGGGTTCTCTGTACTCAATATCATGTCATTTATGGATAGAAACAATTTTAATTAGTGTAAGTTTCCAACATAATGAACACATTCATTGTGAAGTATTGGAACATGCTTGTATCACATCTTAATCCTTTTTATTTTTCCTTCCTGTCTCCTCCTTCCTAAATTCTTTGTCTTGTTCTTGACTTTATGGGAAAAGCATCTGTTCTTTCATCTCTAAGTATGAAGTATCAACTATGAATTGTCCTTGCATATCCTTTATAAGGTGGAAAATTTCTATTCCTCGTTCACTGATTATGTTTATTATGAAAGGATACTGAAAAATTTTAACTATTATACATATTTTATTTTTTTAATTTTTTAATTTAATTTTTAAAATTTTGAAAAGAAAAACTGAAAAAGGATAAAAATCATACAGAATTTTAAAAAATAGTATTACATTAACACTAGTTAATATGTTGCATATTGTTATCTTAGAAGTAGTGTTCAGGTTATAAGATTTAGGCATGGGAAAAATGATCAAAAAATGAGAGCATAACTGTTCTTTTTGATGAATTTATAGAGATTAGTAGTACAGTTATCCATCTACATATATGCATACATGCATTTATGTATGTGTATCTGCATACATATCATCTTTTCTTCCTTTTCTCCTCATCCCCCATCCCAGCTGCTCTTTCCTCCTGAGCACTTCCTTTCCCTTTCATTATTACAATACCTATTGTACATTTTGGATCTTAATATTCTTTCAGTTTTTGAATTTTTTACACTAAAGAGACAATATGATTATAACTGTGAGCTTGATTTATTTCACTTATGAATATGGTCTCAAATCACCTCCATTTCCCTACAAATGCCTCAAGATCATCTTTTTTATATGAGTAGTGTTCCATTGTAGAAAAATACCACATCATTGTTATCCATTCTGCGGCTGATAGGCATTTGGGTTGTGTTCAAGATTTAGCTATTATGAATTGTGCTGCTGTAACATGGGTACACATACATTGCTGTGGCATGACATTTTCAATTTTCCTGGAAAAATGCCCAGAAGAGGAACAGCTGAATTGAACGAGACCTCCAATCCTAGATTTTTGAGGCATCTCCATGCTGATTTCCACAGTGGTTACACCAGTCTTCAGGTCCACCAACAGTGTTTTACATCAGGAAAAAATGGGATATGATGTATCATATCAGCTTTCTTATTTTATCTTTTACTTCATTTTATACGTTGCCTATGTTTTTCAAATTTTTATTTTGATTTCAAAGTAAATTCTCCCTACATTTTTGCTTCTTCCAATAACTATAAGGGAAAAGGATGTTTTTCTTTTCTGTATTAAACACAATGGTTCCTTTTGGGAAATACTCTCATTTCTCTCTCATTGCTCTCCCTCTGCTCTGTCTCTCCCTCCCTCCCTCTGAGCATAGAGGTCAGATGTTCTGCACACGAGGTTGTGAGGTTCTGCCGTCTACCTTATGTCTGTTTAAACCACCCGTAACCATCTTGATCTGGAATGATCATTGGTAGCACAAAGGACTTTTTCAAAGGTCTTTATCCAGTTTTTATTTACTCAGTGTGGTACAGAAGGGTCAGAAGGGTGTCCTTCTTCCTAATGGGTTATCTCATTGTAAGGAAGAGGATTTATCCCAGGACAGTTCGGGAACTGTCTATGAAGGTGCCCCTCACCAACCTCAGCTGGAGTGCAGCTCTAGTGAACCTTCCTCCTGTGACCCATCCCAGCTTGCAGTCCTCAAGGACCTGTGAAGCACAGTGCCTGAGTCTAGACAGAGCTCAAAAGTGGAAGGTAGACTTCTATGTGCAAATTCAAGGATGAAACAAAATGGTCTTCACTGGCCCTCAAGGTCTCCCACCAAAAGCCATAATAGAAAAGACTGAAGAGTCTAGAGAACGCTGGGATGAGATTGACTTTCCTTTTACTAACAATGGTCTCATGGCTCTGACATCGAACCAGAAATATAGTTCTCCTTGTGCATAAAGCATAGAACCACTCTGTCATTCCATTTCATAGATTATAAGACTGAGGCACAAAGGTGTTTAATAACTTTCTAAGGCCCCTCAGCTCTGAGAGGTGAAGGTAATATTAATCCCACAGTGTGTTCCCATATCTCTTAACCTCTCTGGATGAAGTTTTTACTGCAGGTGTACTTGTTCCTAGTTTCTTGCCACAAGACAGGGCTGGATTCCTTGTATAACTCTTCCTTAGGCCTTGACAAGCTATGAATAACATCCCTAATTTCCTTTGCAACTGGACTTTCCTATTACTTTGGGTATTTTGGTGAGTGTTTAAATGAAGGGAGTGAATTTAGCCTACCAGCAACTATCATCTTAACTCAGAAGTCCTCTTGGAATTCTTTGCTTATAAACTTGATCTTAATTGACCGTGCTTATTTTACCGTTGAGAACATCTAAGCCCAGAATGATTAGGCAGTTGCTCCCAAGACACAGAGCGAGTAATGGTAAGGCAGGGACAGAAATGCCTCCTTACCCACTTTGTTCCCTACTCGCTTGGTGGAGTGAGCTCTCTAAGAAGCTGCTGAAGTGAAAATGCATCTGTCTTTCCTCAGCTACTCCCAAAAGACTCAGAGTCTCAAAAGCCACAGGCAAGATTTGGTTTGACTTGACTTAGCCTGTTTGATTTCTCCTTGCACAGGAAAATGGAATGCAACACCTTTAACGGAGGCTTTGCTCAAATTAGACTGAATGACAAATATCTTTTTAAGCTCCTTTACTTGACATCCTATTAATTTTTAAAAATCCCCATTGTTTTCTCCCCCACAGACCTGTTATGTTTCAGATGTGAGACAAATGTATACTTAGAAAGAAATTTCTTTAAAAAGCAGTATTTGCCTCAAACTGGAGGTATTTTAGCAAAACAAAACAAAACAAAACAAAACAAAACAAAAAAAAAAACCCAAAAGGAAAACCCTAGGTACACCCACCAGGATGCTTACCTCACCTTATTTATTTGACCTTTATTTATTGATGGAAAATTTTAGATTAGACTGTTATCAAAGCATATGCTAAATTGCTGAGTATTTGACAGCAATGATTCTCTTGGCATTTCATTCCTACCTAGAAAGAAGTTTTGCCATTTGGGACATGGGTGACAGACCTCCAGAGGCAGACTGCTTGTAAAACAGCCGGGTGTGGTGTGTATCATTACGCATGTCCACATTCCCACAGTAGACTTGCAGGGGTCAGGCAGTATCTGCATCCCCAATTACAGTAAACACCATTGATTCAGGCCTTAGCCCTTTAATAAAAACCCTCTGGTTGGTTTTTTAAAGTCATGGCAGAGTCAAGCAGGAGAGAGAAGAATAGAATAATTGGAGGCTGCTGTCTTTTTGCTTCCCACATAAAATTATTTGAAGAGACAGGCCCGAACTTCAAACAGGAGATACCAAGCAAAGTTGTAATTTGGATGTCGGCCATCATGACTTGAGTGTGTTTGCTTAAGGATATTCTTCCTCCTCTCTCTCCACAGACGTACTTTAATGACAATATCCTCACCCTGATACGGACCTTGGTGACTGGAGGAGCCACCCCGGAGCTTGAGGCTCTGATTGCTGAGGAGAATGCACTTCGAGGGGGCTACAGCACCCCCCAGACCCTGGCCAATAGGGACCGTTGCCGTGTGGCCCAGTTAGCTCTGCTGGATGGGCCCTTCGCAGACTTGGGGGTGAGTCCACAGCCCGACAGATGCCTGAGCCCGGTGTTTGGGAAAAGTTAAATCCAAAGAACTTGATGTCAGATGGTGACCAGTGAGTCTTCCTCTGTTGTATTAAAAATAACTAGAGGAGAGTTGATATTTATACTGTATATCAGGCACTGTGCTCTATGCAAGGTAATTCACTTTAATCCTCACAGCAACCCAATGATGCAGATTCCAATACCCCACATGCTGAGGAAGCTGAGGCCCAGAGAGACTGAGGACTGGGGCTCTTGGGAATTTGCACCAAGCCATGCTGATTTCAGCCCCTTGTTGTCCTTTGCTATTTTCATCAGAAATATTCTTCCCTAAAATGGAGGGCAGCAGGTGATGCCAGTGGGCAGCTCAGGTTGTGAAATGTTTCCACCAGTTCCTGGTTTGCTCAGGGTTGCTCAGTCCTGAGTCTACATGAATGTCACGTGGGGATGCTCAGGTCTGAGTGCTTGAGTCTGAGTATGACCCAAGCACTGGTGATTGTCCAAGCACCAAGGCATCATGTGTAGCCAGAATTCCTAGCTGAACTGCATCTCAGGTGGACCCTTTAATGCCTCTTATTTAAAATTTAGGTTGTTCAATTCCTTAGGCTATACCCGCTCACCTCACCAGGGCCTACCCTGTGATAGAGGTGACCAGCATCTCTCTGGGGTTCTCTGCAACAGCCAGCATCAGGCTGTTTGCTAGACATATGCAGCCTTGACCTTTATTCCCTGCCCAACTCCAGGAATGTGTTCAATGAGTGGAATCTTATCATAAGTGGAATCTTAGGGACCTACCTAAAATTGACCAGAAAATCAGATCATGGAAGAGGAGTGAAGGTTTTTTTGCTGTTTTTTTTTCTTTTTCTGAAACACTCACATCTACTTACACCATGTATCAGTTTGGTTGTGGGGTGCATCCTATCTTAGACTAGGTTTTTGTGAAAGAAATTTTGGGAACCAGAGTCTCTTTACTTTTCACTATTGATACACTTGAATAGGATAAAGGCTTTAAATGGTGGTACAATTTGGCCCCATTCGAGCAGCAATATGATGGAAAGTCCAGTGATAGGGAGGTCATTCTGCAGCTCTCTTGCTATAATAATGTGCTCCTGGGGTTCCCTGGCTCTCTGATGCCTATGTTTCTGAGAGAGTCCATTGGCCTTCAGTTCCTGAGGCCCCAGCCCCCAGGAAAATGGCTGTGAACTGATTAGAACTGTGAATCCCAGTTATCCAGCTGTAGGCTCCCAGCTTCTGGGAAAACACACCCTCTTCCTGCTTATCATTGCTGAGGTCTGCAAATTGTGCTTTTCACACAGTTCTTCCCTGAAGGAGTCTTTCACCGTAGGACCTGGTGGGGTCTTTTCTCCTTGCGATGACTTTCATTATCACCCAGGCGTTTTGATAACAGGATCTGATCACAGTCCCAGCAGTTGAGCTAGGCAAAACATAATCACTGTTGTGTAGGGCTGGTTTCTTCTCTTTTGGCAAACCTACATCTGAGACCATCAAGTTTACACCCTCATCTCAGTGAGGAGAAGGCTTTATCTCTTTAGGGATCTCTTGACAAATGGAGCAACACCACCAGAGAAATCTTATTGTTCTCTGATCCTAAAATCACCTGTATTGAGTGTAGGTATGAACCACATTGACTTTTTCAGGTGCAGACACCTGGCATAGATCTTTCAACTCAGGAGATAACAAAACAAGCTTTTATAAAAAGACTCTTTTCCCCTTCAACCTCTACTCCCAGGCAAATAAAAATGATGTTTCTCTCTGTTCTTTTGTTGTCTCCCAGGATGGTGGTTGTTATGGTGATCTATTCTGCAAAGCTTTAAAAACATACAATATGCTTTGTTTTGGAATTTACCGGCTAAGAGATGCCCACCTCAGCACCCCCAGCCAATGCACGAAGAGGTAAGTGTTCCTTGCCATTCTGGGACCCCACCCAAATCCAGGGGTATACACACCCTCTCTTGTCCCCTGCCATAAAAGCAAAGGACTATTACATACTCTTAAAATGCAAATTACTCCATCTGCTTTAAATCTGACACTGAGTTTGGAACTCATGAGAAATGTTTTCTTTGATTACTAATCGTGCATGTGAAGACACTGTGGGAAGAACTTGAGTTTTGTAAAAATAGTTCCATCACCTGATTGTGACAGTACGATTAGTAGCATCTCCCCTGAACTCCAGCTACTGGGCTCACCTCCATTGATATGTAATAGAGACATACTCTACATAGCTAGTGTTTAAGTAAAATGCTTCCTTACTGTATCTGGGAATCCTGTATTTCTACTTAATATATTTTTAATTGACTTAACCATTTCACTTTTATATGTTTACTTTTATTGTATATCATCACTTTAGACAGAAACAGTTTAGATGGGCTACTTATATTTTTCCAATACACATTAAAATAAATTCGTAACAGGCAAAAATTGAGTACATCCTAGAATTACCCAAATCAATAAGCTTGCATAGTTTACCTCAGAAAATATTGGTATAGAGGTATGTGTTTCTCAGCTGTGCATATTAGAATCACCTGGGATGCTTTTAAAAGCTGCTCCTACTAGTCTGACTTCATTGAAAAGGGAAACAATTCTACAATGAAAGTTGCAATGCTTTCCTGAAATCGCCTGCAGTTGGGCACTTAGGGTTGGAAGTACGCTTGATGTCTGAATGGGTACTTGGGAACCATAGGAAGCACAATTTGGTTTTCTCATTACGGGCTCCAATTTGGCCCCTACAGGCCCATGGAGGGCCCCTCCAGGGTAGTTAAACAGAGGAGGGTTTGTTAACTTTGAAGGAGTTGGACAACCAGTGCATCTTCCAGATCCTATGATAGGTTTGACAGCCAGGCAATTCCTTCTTGGCTCAGGAAGAGCTGAATTCTCCACCCAGGGACCCTCAGGTTGTGACATCTTTGCTTTCCCTGCCTAGGTATGTCATCACCAACCCCCCCTATGAGTTTGAGCTTGTGCCGACGGACCTGATCTTCTGCTTAATGCAGTTTGACCACAACGCCGGCCAGTCCCGGGCCAGCCTGTCCCATTCCTCCCACTCGTCACAATCCTCCAGCAAGAAGAGCTCCTCCGTTCACTCCATCCCATCCACAGCAAACCGGCAGAACCGACCCAAGTCCAGGGAGTCCCGGGACAAACAGAAGTACGTGCAGGAAGAACGGCTTTGATATGTGTCTCCACCGCCACCGTGTGTGAAACTGTACCTGCCACTCATTTCCCCAGTTGGTGTTTCCAACAAAGTAACTTTCCTTGTTTTCCCTGTAGTCCTCCCTGCCTTTCTTGTGTTTTACACATATTTGCACATGTATGATAGCGTGCATGTGATTGTCATTTTTATTTCACCACCATAAAACCCTTGAGCACAACAGCAAATAAGCAGACGGACCAAAAGTTATTTATGATTCTAGGGGAAAAATAACCCAAAGGCATGCTCCAGACATAAATAGCTCACTGCAGGAATAAGTTCACAGATTAGAAAGGAGCACGTGTGATCAATGTCAGTTAGGCAAAGCAAGTTTATTTAATGTACAAGAAAGTTGATTCCGATTTACCAGGACTATCAGGGTGCTTTGGGTTTTGATGTTTTTGTTTGTTTTTCTTTCTTTCTTCTCTCTCTCTTTAAATACACACACAATAACTTAGCACACATTTATTTGAAACAAGTAACCAAAAAGCAATGAAAATGTATTGATCGTTTCCGTTCTCTGGGCAGAAGTATTGCAGAGCATTTGAAAAGCTTTCATGGTTTGTGTAGATGATTATTAAGCACCTGCTTGCAGTAAGAAAGCGTCAGAGATTTTTTTAGTTACCCACCAAGGCCTTTTGTCTCAGAGCTTGCTTCCTTTTGGAATTCATGTAAGCATTTTTACCCTTAATGCAGAGACAGGCAAGTAGTCTGCTGGTGGATGTATCAAATTCCAGTCATTTCATCGAAGTGAAGAGAAGTTTGATTGCATATTAAGTTGTTATTCTGTCTCCTTATGCTGCCATACGAATAGCTTTTTTTTTTCTTTCACTTTTGACATTTGGGATGAAAAGCCATATGTATCATAAATATCAGATATAAGTCAGTAAAAACTGCCTTCCTGGGACTTTTACATCTTTTAAAAGGTGAATTACTTTCCTTATGTACAGAATAAATAATGCTCCGGAAAGAGCAAGTATTTTTCCTTGCCTTCTCAGGGGACCTTTTTACTCCCCTTTGTTTGATTAGCAGGGCCCCAATGCCAGGTAGCAGCAAGGGCTGGGATGATGGCAGAGGGAGAGGAAGGTAAACCCTACATCGGCTATGTTTTTGTAGGAGCCAGCATACTAAATAAATCAGGATGCAGGAGGATCAAGCTACACTTGACTCAACAAAGACAAAAGCCAGCCACTACCTTAAATTGTCAGCACAGCTGCACTGTGCTCTGTCCCAAAGCAGAAAGCTGGTGGGAAAGAATCCCTCCCCTGCCACCCCATTTCCTTTCCATAGCCAGTTCTGCTAGGCTGTTGTGTGACCTTAATGGAGAGCTGCTCCTCGTCCTTACTAGATGGGGTGGGGTGGGGATTGTTAAGCAGAGTCCAGCAGTGAGCCAAACACATTTTGGTATAATTATTTGTTTCTCTTGTTTTCTTTCTTTCTTTTGTTTTGTAAGTTGGTAATCACGGGAGAATAATACCATTTTTTCAACATATAGTTGCCAGATGTTTCACGCATTCAAATCATGCTTTATGCTATGCAGTAGTTCTTAAAAGTTGGCCAACTCTACCATAATCAAATTCTTGACTAGTCACTAGCCCTGGTCTGGTGTCAACCTACTTGAGATGTTTACTTTAAAAAACAAAAATTCCATTGAATAGAATAGGGATGGAAAGGAGGAATTTTTTAAAAAAGTCGTAACTATACCATCTCTAAAAAGGTGTTTTTATGGTGAATGTTTGGGATTTAGATTTTGGATCCCCTGTCCCTTCCAGCATGATAGTTTTGGAAATTTGCTTGCTGTGTGATTGACAAGCACTTTTACTGACAAAATGGTGAGTTTCAGTCAGAACCTCCTTCTCTCCCTACATCAAAGACAGGGGCAGTGCAGTATTCCAACCAGCACTGGGGTCTGGGAATAATCGTATACATGTATATTAAAAAATCCTATAAATGGAAGACTTTTTTTTCAAATTATTTTGGTTCCCATGTATTTTGATTTATATATTATGTACAACTATTTCTTTATATATAACTATATATATATGTGTATATATATATAACTATATATACGTCCCCAAGTTTTGGATCATGAAGAGCTCTTCATGCATTCTTTGCAAAGGAGGTTATAAGGTTATGCCCTCTGAACATTTATAACTATAAGAATGTGCCAGTTAAAGTGCTCAACAGGAAATATGACAGTTTAAAAGCATTGTAAAACTCACATAGCTTACTTCTCTCTCTAAAGTGCGACAAGGATGAATAGAATGGGCCAAGGTATGACAATTAATGGTTCTGCATGACCTAGCCACTGCTGGGGGTTTTCTTCTATAACGTTGTCCTTGTGAAAACTTTTGTGAAATTAAAAAAAAAAAAGGAGTTACAAATTTTATTCTGTTATTGGTTTATTTATTTTTATTTCTATCGTTCTGTTTGTGGTTTTATTTATTTGGTTTTGCTTCCCCCACCCCCTGTTCCTTTTTTCTTCTTTTTTCTCTTTCTTTCTTCACCTTCTCAATTCCTCAGCGCAATGAGGCTGTGCTGCTGCTATGCTAGAATCCTTAGAGTTTGTTTTGGTGTTCTTGGGTTTGGGGCTGGTAATTGTGGGGGATTCTCTCCATCTGGCTTGCCTTCAAATCTGCACGTGGCCTCCCTGCCCACCTTGGTACCTTGCTCCAAGTCCAAAAGCATTTTCCCATCAGAAACCCAGCTTCCCTCACCCCCATCACCACCAGCCGGCCCAGCCCCCATCGGTCTGTCCACATCTCTGTGTTTATTTTGACGAGACCTACCAAATCAAGTGATGTCGCCAGTTGATAAACTTTTCTGGAAAACATTTACAGCTATTCCATTTGGCAAACATGCTTCTCTGTTAATATTTTAACCTCCTTTTATTTAAACCAGGAGGGTTGTGAATGGCAGAAGCATAAAGCTTTCCATTGTTTGATCGGTGTGATGCAAAGTTAAAACCGTTCAGCTGTATGCATCAACTCGAGAGCGCATGCCCAGTTATCTGGGGGCTGATGACTCAGTCACGCTGTTTCTCAACTTACTCCTATCACCTGCCTTTCAGACATTTGTTCAATCCCAACCAGAGATTGGGCAGATAGAAGTAAAGCCAAAATGCATCTTCTATACAATGTGGCAGTGCTCTGATGAGATGATACTGTGATGGGATTGCAATGGGGACAGAGTATGACATGAGGTGGAATTTGGGGGTTTATCCAGGACTTGGGACACACAGTTCCCACTGGTTGATAACTGAGAATTGCTCATAGAAGGGTAATAATATTTGATAATGGCAAATGTATCATGATTGCCTCTAATTTTTTTTTTATCTAGAAGTTTTGTATTATCTGTTCCTTAGTAGAATGAAGACTTTCCTCCATTGTGTTCAACTTGACCCCAAATTTTCTCTTCCTGCCTGAGTTTAGAGAACATCTACTCAGGAAGGAGGCATACATGTATCTCAAGTTTTGTCTCTACTCTCTCCACGGGAAATGTGAAAAAAAATAAATAATAGAAAAGGAAAGAATTCTATGAAAAGAAAACAGATGCATTGGGAAAGAACAAGTTAGGAATTCAGTGATCTGCCCAATTGTAGAAGCCATGCAGTCAAATTTTCTTAGGCTTTGAAAGCAGTTAATCAGTTGTTGGACCAAGAGACCCAGGGCATCCTTGTCAGAGCCAACAAGCTGATGATTATGGAATCACTAATAATCCCAGTGCCTGCTGCTAAGATCCTTCACAAATCAGTTTGAAAAGACTCCCTGTGCATGTACATTTCCACAACTGGGAAACGTTTCAGATTCCATTCTGAATATTAAAGGTTGTGACCTAGAACTTTATGACAGTGCCACTCAGTTTGTACTGGAAAGCATTTTGATCCCACGTGTTTTCATACATTTAACTCTTTCAGGACTTATCCCACCCCCTTGCCTTGTCTATAAAACATCACAGTGTGACCCTAGTTGCTCTTCAGTGCTGCTCTGCGGGTGTCTGTCTTTCCCCACTAGTGTTAGTCCTAAAATGGGAAACATCCCTGTAAGCTACTGTTCTGCGTAGAGAGACTGAGCGCCTGTTAGCAGCATTGTCAAGATGCAAAATGACCAGAAAAACCTTTTAACTGGCTCTTCTTCATCATGGGAAGAGCCGAAAGGTGTCTGCATCCCAATAGAGACAATTAGATCAACCTTCCAGGTTCCTATACGAACAGGCTCCTTGAGGAAGAAACAGGAGAGTGCAGAAACATCAGGGATTGTGAAAGTTAAGACAGGGTAAAAATCAATTTCTCCATCAGTTTCTTTCAGCCCATCCCTGCTTTGTCACAATACGATAAAGAAGTAGCAGTGGACACCTGTCACCAACTGGGTGACTGTCTCCCACGCGGAGATTGCATTCACTGTAGCCCTTGGAGGAGAGAGGGATCATCCTCTGGCACACAAGAGGAAGAGGGAAGAATCTGCCTTTAGGATTCTGGCTGGACCAAGGTCCACTAAGGAAACTGTGTAGGAGGCAGTTTGGACTACATAGTGAGTGGCAGCATTAGACTAAAAGAGACAATTGTAAATCAGCTAAAAGAGACAACTGTAAAGACGTGACACAAACAGAAAGTGTTCTGTGGTATAAAGGATTTTCATCTCCATGCAATAGCCTCATTCTGCCCAGGGAGAGGAGAGGTGATCTGCATGGGTAGGGTTGGGGACAGCAGGGTTTGGTGGGCAGAGGAAGAGAGCCAGTCTGCCCTGCAGAAATGTGAGCCATGCACCTGCCCAGCATTGCCCTAGAAGGCTGGAGCTCCTTGTTAGCTCTGACTATTCTCAGTTGTTATCTCTATCCAGATGGAATCTTTTCTTTTCATGCCTTTGCTCTCTAAACCTCAGCTTGTGGCACAGTGAGAAGTGGGCCAATTATTCCAAATGCCTTTGCTGTGTCATTCTGTCCCCTTTTCTGCAGTCTTCTCTGGGGAGTTGTTATGGGAAAAGGCTAAATCCCAGCACACTGACAACCCATTGAGCCAGCAAAGAAGCCCAGTATTCACAGCGCAGCCTGTTTCTCTGCTTGTGGTGCCTTACTAGCTTACCCTTATCGCAACGTAGCTCTCTCCTCTGGGATACCCCTGCTGATGTGCAGCCATGTGGCTGGAGGAAGACCTGACCCTCATTCTGAGCTCTGTGAGCTCAGTGACAGCACCAGCAGTGGAGGCACAGATGGCTTTCTGGTGGGACAGGATGCCTATCCAGTGAAAGTCAACGTGTCAGAGACAGAGGATGTAACCCAGGAGGGTTGCAACCATGAACTTCCCAATGTAGTACCAGGTTACTCCTTTCCCTCCCAAATGAAAACCACTCCCCAAATCCTCCTGTGTCATTCTACTCCAAAATCCACACTCGTCAGGCCAGCACCTCAGTTGGTATACCTCAGTTTTCTACCATCATGTTCTCTGTTGAAGGATTTCCATCTGTAATCATATCCAAAAGATACACCCAAATTGACATACTACTTCAGTACCAACAGGACTTTTACCACTGTGGACCTTAAAGCAGCTGGCACCTTGGCAATCACCATGGGCGATCTTCTTTGCACTTCCGTTCACTTGCCCCTTCATCCGCATCCCGCATGTGGGTGCTGTCCGAATCATTTGACAAATGTACTGAGGGACGATAAGGTCCAGGAAGTTAGTCACAACATGAATACTGCTAATTACGGTAACGGCTCACATTTGATTACCATGTAGCTGGCCCTCTGGTTGGTGCTCGGTGGTCTCTAGCTTCATCAATTGTGGCAACATTAGGAAGTCGTATCCTCAGCCCTGCTCTACAGAAGACAAATGATGCTGAGATGAAGTACCTAGTAACTTGTTCAGAGCCCAGGGGCTGGTACCAGAGAGAGCCAAGTCCACTTGACTATCACCTACTGCCTGGTGCCATTTTGCTTTCCTCATCCCCATTTCTCATGGTGTGTCCTTGGTGGACAGCTTGTGGCTTCTCTTGTCTGGAGAGGTGACACCTCTTAATGGTGGTGGTAGTTATCTTACCACCAGTTATTTTCTAATTGCATTTTGTTATACTAGCCCATTTGCTATGGACTGGGGAGATATCACTCCCTAACTCCACTAACTGCCTTGTGATAGAAACTCTTAGCAGATCGATCACATAGGTGTGCGATGGGAGGGGAGCGTGCATCACACATCTCCCATCAAAAGCTTGTGAATGAATGAGGCTATTTTGTCACAGCCAGGTCAATCACCTTTCTCACATTAGGATGACAAGAAAGTGCTCAAAAATCTTTTTGGCATTTGGGGCAAGGAAGAAAATGGAGATAAACTCAGGAATTTGTGTTTCTTCTTGATCACTCCACAATTTAATTCAATTCCTTCTCTGAGTCTTCATCCTGCTGGCCAGTCTTGTAACCACCCACTGGCATAGTTCCTTTTCGGAAGGCAGGATTCGATAAACCAGTTGTCATTGTCATATTTGTGATACTTTTTATTGAAGCCCAGTGGCAGCAACCGTTGCAATGTGTATTCCTCTCAGGCTCTTTGAGAGCATTTCTTCATAGAATGCCAGTTTAGTAAAATATTCAGAGCATTCACACACTTCAATACCTGTAAGATCACCCCACCAAGTCTCCAGTAACACATGTGTTTCCATCTGAGGAGGCATCCAGATGAAATAACTGCTTTTTAGGTATAATAAACCTCACCCCTTGCCTGGGAGGTGCTTTCAAACCACCCCTCCTTTGTGCTGCAGCTGCATAGCCAAAATACAAGGGCTACGCTGCTTTTATTTTTCCAGCTAGAAATTTAGAGGGAAAAAGAGAACCTTAAATGAGAAATAATGCTGTCTTTCTTGTAGACAGCAGAAGGAAATTGATATTCTCTCTGTGGTGAAAGGTCAAAATGCCAACTTTGAATTGAACTGTAAAGACTAAATTCTGAACAATTATTCTCTGCAGCAGTTGTAAAAATTTCAGGAAATTTCAACTGTCTTAGGTCTTTCACCCAAAGACCTCCACAATTCCATCAGCAGAGTTCTCTCTGGCAACCCGGCATGTCCAACATAGCACTAAATTCCTTTGCAAAATTGTTCCACGTAACATTGCGATCCCAGCCAAGGGCAGCTCAGGAAAACAGAGTCCAAACACCAGACTCAACACCAAACATCATCTTTACACATAAACGGTTTGAAAAAGTCATAGTCTGAAATTGTTTCAGAGGCCTGGCAATGCTTTTAAAACATAACCATCACACTTTACTCTTCTCTGAAAGGTTAGTTTAATCGTAGATCACAAAAAATTGGTTTCCACAAATGCATAATGGTTCATCTATGTCACACTTGAACTAAATGGTTTTTTAAATGGAGCTGAAATTATTTTGATGTGTACACAGTCCCAGATTTCTATACAACCTTTTTTAACCAGCCCATCAGGAGTCTTGCCTCTAAAGCCTCATTAATAATTCAGATGTGCTGATGACTTTAAAAGATCTATGGAATTGAAGCTTAGGAAAAAAAAAAAAAAACTCTGCTTGACAAAAAGATAAATGAATGTAGAAAGAAGCTGTAGGAGCCTGGCAAGCTGTAGATCATCTCAGAACAGATTGTAACTTTATCATTTTGTCAGGGGGAATAATTTAAAGCACTTAATCAGTTAGCTTCACTGTGAGGATGTAGCATTATGAATTCCTATCGTCCAATCTGTTCAAATCAAAGTGAACTTAATTATAATAGGTGAGAGAGCCAGAACGGGAGGGGAGTGTGGAGGGGAGAACAATGCAAGAGATAGCAAGTGTCCTGAGGGGTAAACTGAGCCACCGAACAAAGGGTAGTGGACCTTTACCAAAGCACACCCTTGTCTCAGAGATGGGCCACAGTGGTACCGAGGGCTCAGGGCATGGAAAATATGGAGCAAGGAGAAAGAAGAAAATGTTGACCAGACTATCACTGATGCTTAATTTACAGACCATTTTGTACATATACACACACATGCATGCACACGCACACATGCACACACACACACACATGAACTCACCAAACCAGGTGAGCAGTTTTTACTACTGTAAGATTCCAGAACCATCTACAAGGTACTTAGGGCAGCTCTTCTAGCAGAGGGCAGAGAAAACTAAGAAGCTATTGTCTCTAGAGCAGTGAGTAAGCTTTAAAGCCTTTCTCCCTTGTTCATTTCTTCCTCTAAACCACTAAAATGAAGTGGATGATTCCCAAGTTAGAATGTCCTATTTGCCTGCTCACTTTTTATCCCTACACATGACCAATTCCCCAGAAAATTTCCATCCTAGTAAAAGGTGGGGATGAGGATTGAGTCTTATAAAATAATACTGCATGGCTCTGAGATGTGAGAGCGTTTTCACTCTCCTTTTAGCCACAGAAGGCCCTGACTCAGCATCTCTTTGAGCCCTTTCTATATTTAGGGTAGAAATGAAATGCCAAGTCTTCACTGAGCGCCTGTGTTGACAGCTTGGGTTACAATAGTCAGTTAAGACATTGCTACTTGGAACCATTTTCACAGCTCTGTATCAACGGAGTTAGCTTTCTTGAAATTAAAGCCATCTCAACATCTTCATTAACACATTGGCCATTATCCTAACTTTCACTCACTGGCCAGCAAACCCTGTGAGTTTTCCTGAAGATCCCCAAAGCTGGCTGGCTGCAAAAGAAGCAGAAATGGTAGAGTTGGCAAGTGCTTTCAAAATCTGCTTGTTATAAGCAAACCCGAGTAAAGGCTGGGAAGAGGTGAGCCTGCAGGAGATTCTAGGCTACTTGGTCTGTGGCAGGGATGTTGTCCCTTCATTCCCGCCAATAGCTGCACAAATTTTTCCTTAAGCACCATGTCTGTACCCAATCTCTGATACACGTAGCATCTCCTCCACACCAAAGCTTTTCAGGCCAGTAAAGTAACTCCAGAGAATTTTGCCAAAGTTCATCTTCCAATCCTTCCTTAGTCTCTGAGGTCCACTCATGGTGCTTGCAAGTCCAAATGGCACATTTTGTTCATCACTTGCTGCAGGAAACGGAGGTATGTTTCAGGTCCGGGGGTCCTCTCTACACTGCACTGTTTTCTTTAGCAATTACTCACTGTCGGCTTCTATCAATTACCTTTTTGCATTTTTCAATGAACTTTCCAAAATCTTTACCCTAGGACTAATTAAACTTCTCATTTCTCCTTCTTGTTCTCTATCCATTTTGCCCTTTAGCAGAAAAGAAATGGTTTACAGATGAACCGGATAATGCCTATCCCAGAAACATTCAAATCAAGCCCATGAGTACCCACATGGCTAACCAGATCAACCAATATAAATCCACAAGCAGCTTGATTCCTCCAATCAGAGAAGTTGAAGATGAATGTTGACTCCCAGGAGACCAGAACTATTTTTTTAAAGCCTGACAAACTTCATAAATGGTGACGTGACTTTTCTGCCTCTTACATGCTGAATCACTGGTGGAAACATTAGGATAAGCAAGAATTGCAAGAAAATAATGTAGACAGATCTTTCTCTTTGTCTGCCTTGAATATTGCTTCCATGTATTTTGGAAAAGAAAATGATTTCATTTATAAATGAACATACTAAAATGGTCATGTATAGCCTCTAGCATTTTAAATTATTTTGTTTATTAGAAAAGAAAATATATTTTTTCTTTTTTTTTCATTGTCAAATATCTTCCCTATATCTAAACAATGCAAAATCAAAATGAATAAGTGGCCAGACTCCTTAATAAACATTTCTCTTCTTTCTTTTCCTTTGAGGAGAATGATGGTCACCACCACAATTAATTGTGATTAAGGGAAATGGATTATACAAATGATTTTAAAGTGGTTCACAATGTGTACATGTATTTTAGCAGATCCAAAAACAAAAACAAAAGAGGACAGGCAAACCCCTGCTCCTCTCTTGCAAGGGTGTGTGTTTTGATCTTCATTGACACCAGCTCTTAATAAATGGAGACTTACTTATTTTCACAGTTGGAGTTAAATTTTTGTAGTTTTAGTTTCATTGTTTTTCTCACCTCTTTTTCACATGTTGAAAGGAAAGACCTTTTTGCACTTTGCTTCTGATGGTCAAGTAGGTCAGGTTGAGGGAGCCAAGTAGCAGTACCAGAAGGGTTGTGGGCATCCTTGGAATGTGGGAGTCGAGGACATGGGCATACACGACATGTTTGTTGTTCTAATGGTGGGCACCCCTCCATGCTATTAGGCTTCTCATTCCACAGCAAATCACTCAAACACTTAGTTTCAGCTTTGGGAGGATCTTGTGAACTCCCCTCCCCCCATCTCAGAGCTTTTAGCCTGAAAGTTTATAAATATGAATGAATAATTGCCCTTACCCATGGGATCTGAGATGCACTCATTTATCGCACTAAATTTTTATTTAAAATCCAGAAATTTTCCATGATCAAGGAAGTGACTGTGGAATGGATTTTAATTTGCTCACTTTCCTTGATTTAATAATTGCGGGGGCAAAACACACAAACTTGCTATAGCAATTTAAAACAACAATAATAACAAAAAAGGAAAGCAACAAATGCACTCAATATAGACTGTTAGCAAAAGGCCTTTGAAAATTACCAGCAATGAAACAAAATGTACGTGTCACTTTAAACGGTGGTCAAAAGAATCTGCCAGCCATTGGACTCCACGGGCACATTGTAGCCCTGCTCTTGCCTGCATGTTGTGTGTACAGCCACCCCAACAATGTTCCGTGCCAATGATTAGCAAGTCTTTCAATGTCAAAATGACCCATTTTTAAATACGATCACCAGGGTCTCTGGAGAAGCATGGATGTCATAGTGAATTTTAATTTCTTAAAAATGTAAACTGTGGCTACTTAACCAAACTAACCCAAATATCCCCCAAAGTCCCGTGATATCTACTCCATTCACTCTAGGCCATGACCCTGTGGTACTAGTTATGATAGTGCAAATCAGATCAGAGCTGAGCAGTGAGATCACCATGGAAACATACGTCCACTAAGCACTCCAATTCTGATGTAGGCAAAACGACTTTCTACCTTTGTCCACTCCCCGCAGAGCCAGTGTAGTCATGCTTCCACCTCGTAGGCATTGTCCTGCAGTGACGTGTTGGACTGTGATTACTCTGTGTCACATTTTGTAGAATTAGTTCTATAAAAGTATCGTGATTATAATGTATGTCCAATTGGATTGTTAAAAAAAAAAAAAACTACTTATAATCAATCACTAGTCTACTTCACAGACTAAAATGACATTGACAGTCTATATTCGAATACATATTTCTTGGTTTCCAACAGAAGTCAAACATGCTGGATGGGGAAAAAAAATCTCCTGCTAGGATACTGGCAGCTTTCTTGAGTGCTAGGCCTTCTCTTACATAATGATTTTGCATTGGGGTTACCCTAGTACATTTGCATTGACCCACGCTCTCCTTTCCTTCATGAACGGTGGTGGGCTCTTTCCCACTCTTGTTCCTGCTAACCACTCTGGACCTGTCTATACCTTTGATATTCCCTACACAGTGGTGAAAGATATTCCATTAAAGGAATACAGGGTGGCATATTGATCTTTTTCTTCCTTCCCCTTATCCCTCCATGCCAAGGCAGTGTGGAAGCAGAAGTAGACACATTCTGCATTTCAAGTCTGAATATAACTAAATATTTTAACCTAAAGTTAAACAAACAAACAAACAAACAAAAATGAGTAAGATAATATCTGCAGGAAAGGGCTCCCTGGTTCATCGAGTATCCTCCAAGATCCAAGCTGATAGAAATCCATTTTCTTCTAAGGCAGAGCAATCAGCTTATGCTGTTTTGCCATTGTGGTCATGAATTATTCTGGGTCAGAAAAGAGAATCAGGCATTTTTAAAAGAAGGTACACAAATGACTAGATGGTGGCCCTTTCGACAAAAACTAGTACATGGCAAGTTGGAAGAGAAATAGAAACAGAATTAAGATTGGCAGGACTTGGCGCGGGGGTGCTCCAGGGAATGTCAGAGCTTCCTGATTTGTTTCCGTTTGGCCCTGAGCCTTCATTCACCTCTGCTGTGAAGAATCTCCACCTACATTCATTTTTATATCAGTGATGGTCTGCTTTGGTGATATTCTGTGTTATAAGACTCTGATTTCCCATTCCATTCTAGGATTCAGAAAAGCCATTCTTTCAATGATTCTTGGGTGCTTTGGGAATCAGATCTACCAACAGGCTGTTTGTAAAACAGAAAGTACCTATGTATAAGTGCATCGTTGTCATCATCATCTTTCTCATTGATAAAACTAGTTTTGTCTTAGCTATTTTATAGTTTAAAATACTGCCGCACTCCAATATAAAACACCTTTAGTAAAAATGATTGTGGCTACTCCATGTTGGAGAATATTCTCCTTCTAAGAGTTGTGCTATCTTATGGCATACTTTGTAAAAAGAATTGGATATTTTAAATACACAAGTAATTAGAATGGTTTGGTTCGCATTGGGAAGGAGAGAAGTGAGTAAAATTGGGGACTTTTGCATGTGGAAAACAAAAGGCTTTCTGCTGAAGGTTTAGTTTGAAGACTTAACAGCAACAAACAACTAGTTGTAAGTCTTAAAAATGTTCTTTAAATTGTTAGAATCACCATTACCTTAAAATGACGATGATTCACTGGGCGAGCACTAAGGTCGTTTCTAGACCAGAGAGGACAGGATCTCAATCTGGGGTGGGAAGTCAGAGTGACTGCCTCTGCCTGGCCAGTCCTTTGAAGACAATGTTGTGCAAGACTGGGATATGGTTTCTTTGTAGCTACATCCCCCTTGAAATGCCTCAGTCTCCACGTATATACATTTTCTGCTCTGGAATACTTGTACCAGAATTGGGTTCACTCCTGTGTTTACATTTTGTAAACTCCTTAGATTCAAGATACAGATTTCTAAATTCACATGTACCTCAATTACACTGTATTTTGTATTTTTCTTCCTGTTTTTAGGGTTATCTTCTCAATCTCATTTCTGCTTTCTCTTTCCCTTGGGTCAACATTCAGCTCTAGCTAACCATTTTCTCTTGAGCCCTCATCTCCAGTGATATGTAGGTGGTGATAATTCTGAGACCTCTTCCCCTCCAGTTCCTGCCAGTACCCGCTTTTGTGTTTCCCTACAGAGCTCTGGGCTTTAGGAATTCAGTAGTTTCCTGCATTCCCTGTTTAAGTTTTTCATTAATATACTAACCTCATTGAAAGAAGGAAGGAACGACAGGATAGAGGTAGAAAGAAGGGAGAGGAAGAAAGAATGGCAAATAAATTGACAAGCATTAGAGTCATTTTGACTCCCAGGAGACTAAACAAATCCATTCCATGTGGACATTAAGTTCCAGGGTGGAATCTATCCACTTTTTCTTCTGTTTCTCTTTGTTGCTTCTGGACTGGTGGTAAAACCATTGAGCACCGTGGCCCTTGAGAGGCCCTCACTGTTTAGGGCTTGATTGAGTCTCTTTAAAGAGCAAAAGGAACTGAGAGTTCACTTCAGTCTTCCTGAGAAATTACATTTCTACCCCTCTTCTGTCTTTACTCCATGTTCCTAAAGGGCATATTTTCTTTTATCCAAAAGACATGATTTAACATTTAAGTTCCATGATAGTTTGAAGGAGGGATGAGACATTTTGGATGTAGTTATGGAAAAGCGCTTGTTAGCACGTATTTCCAGTTGATTTGTACTTACTGTGATCATCTTGACTGTTTAAGTGGAGTTGGCCTTGACGAGTTGTTGTTCATGTTGTATCAGTTGTTAATGATTTCAGTGTTGGCATGAAACTAAGGGACTATATAGAAGAAATGTTACTGCTTAAGAGATTTCTGAAGCGATTATTTTATTTCTTTAAATTTTATTTCTGAAGAGATTACCAAGCCTAATTTGTCATCCCTAAAGGTCACAGCCCCAATAACTCCACAACAGTTGGAAGCTCTACGATCCTGCACTCTTAATGTGCTGAAATTGGAGGAGGTAATCTGAGTTAAAATATTCCTACTATATTTTAAAGCATGAAAATGGGCCTGAAATGCTTTGTGAAAGTGAAATTAATGACAGAGAACCAGGACTAGGTAGACAGAACTAAGAAGTTGTTCTTTTAAGTTATCATGAACCAGGGGCACGCATGGAATGATGCTTGGTGTTGGGTAGAAGAGGCTGCATTGGCCCAGAGGTGGGAACAATGCAGACGAATCTAATGCTTGATGGGCTTTGGAGACAGTGCAGCAGGAAATGAAGGACTTTGCATTGGAGAAATGTGGACCAGGAGAGTTTTCCAGGGAGATGGGCTTTGAAGCATTGCTGGGAATTGTTAGATCATTTTGTCTATGGTGATAAATTTGTATAGATAAGCTGAGAAGAAGTAGCATAAGATTTCATAGAAGAAGCTAGGCAGTAGGCAGCCTGAGCCCACGTGACAAAATCTGATTGTTGATTTAGAAACTCATGAAAGTTTGTGACAGTTGATTTAGAAACTCATGAAAGTCACTGAGAGTTTTCAACACTGATAGGAAGCAGTGCTTGTGCACTTTCTAGTTGCAAGTTTTGAGAAGTCAGTTTTTCCTGCCCATCACCATGCAAGTGTAGATTCTGTAGCTGGACATTGTCTCAGCAGCGCAGAGTCCTGCAGGTTACAAACCCCATGCTAGCAGCTCCGCCCAGTGCAGCAGCTGCTTCCTGTGCATCTTGGGGAATCGAGACCCAGGATATCTACGCACTACTCAGTTACTACAGTGTCACCCACAAAGCAACCAAGGAGACTAAAGGGAAGGGATAATAAAGAGTCCAGATTTTTAAAGCCTCCCAATCCTACTATTTTCTGGGTATTACATAATAAGAACATCATGTAGGTCATCAACAAACTGTAGAGCATAATCGGTAGCTCAGAACTACCAAACATGAATTTCCATTGTAAAACATCCGCTCAGATAATCCGGTAGCCACTGCTTAGTAATCAGTTGGCAGTCAATAAATATTTTTTAAGGGGGATGGAGCAGGTTAACAATATACTTCCTGTTGTCAGTGAACTTAACATCTAACTAAAAAGAGAAACATGCAGAACTATTAGAGAAACAGTAAGCACCCATGACACAGTATCATCTTTCAACATGGCAGCAACTAAAACAAAGGAGAAAAGCTGTGGTTTGAAGTGGCTCGGCAAGATGGGCTCTTTAGGAGAAGAAGGAGTTTAGGAGCAGGTAATTAGAGGGTTAGCATGCCTGCTCTGAAGACAGCGGTATCTGGAGTGTGGCACAGGAAATGGTATTAATCAGGGCCAGCCAGTGGACAGTTATGGAGTAGCCACTGTACACTCAAGGCTGGGTACTATTTTAGAGGAAGGCAGTCCACCTGCCTCATAGGTGACAGGGCATATGCCCATGACAAAGATCATGTGGCACAAGACAGCTATTCATAATGAATTTCTGAGTACAACAGCAACTAGGATCACTAAGGGTTGCACAAGTTTGGCTGGGCTTGTAAGGCTGTGTGTTAGTGCAGAAGCTGTAGGACTGGAAACTTTTCTGCGGAGAAAACGCTCAACCAGGACTTCCAGGTCAGGACCATGGGGACGAACAGGAAAGAAGAGGAGACAGGAAGGGGAGTGGGCCAGTGCAGTCTGCTGAGAAAGGTGCTGCATTCATCCAGGACGCAGAAAGCTGAGAGCTTCAGAAGGGAAGAGGAGGGCCTGCAGTGTGGGACCCAGACTCCCAGATTCACATGCACAGGGCTTTGGAAAGTGTGGTGCGGGGCTGAGTTCTCCAAAGCAGAAAATGCAGGTTGAGGAGACCTGTTGGCTGATCTTTTTAGGAGCTGCTAACCAGAACGAAAGAAGAAGGCATGCTTGTGACTGGAAATTGGGTATACTTTTATTCTAAGTAAATGGAAAACAAGAGGAGAGAATTCTAAGAATGGGTATGACGTTAGATGAGGTTTGGGTATAAAAGCTGTTAGAAGATGGTAACTTACAAGGAAAAGGACTCCCTTGAAGGACAGGTTGCCTGTTTGTCTTTCTCCCCAGATCTTACCACAAGGCCTGCCTGGGGGAGTGGGTGGGGTTCCCTTGGATGCCATGAAAATGGAGGTTGCACAGGCTATGCAGGTGGCTGGCACTCTTTCTGAAGCTCCCAGAGGAATCCTGAGGATTCCTCCTTTTCATCTCCTGTTTATGCCGCGGCATTGTTCCTCATTTCTCACCCCCACAGCACACACGTGTAGCTTTAGTGTCCGGTGTTTTAAACGCCACAGTCACCCTGCTTTGTTGGCTTTTCTGGAGCAGCAGTAGGCAGAGAGAGATTTTAGCCAGGTGAGAAACATGATCTTATTTCTAGGTAGACTTTTAAATTTAAAGAGATTTCCTCCGGCCTGCTTATTCCCATGAGGGCGACTGTGTTCCTGCTCTTTCTTTATCTTGCAATTCAGCAGAAGAGGGACAAAAGTGACACTCAAGATCTTTAAGGCCACCACAGGCAGCACTGCTGAGCCCACTGAGGGGAGTCTGAGATCAGACTGTGCACACATCAGGCGTGTGACCCCGGGCCTCCCTCATATGGGAGACAGGGTCCACGTGAGAAGGGATACGGCGTGGAAGCGAGCTGCCAACAAGGCAGACCAAGCTTCACGTCCACACTACACCAGAACCCTGCGCACCCCGGAGCACCTCCCTCCCTTTCCCTTCCTTCCGCCAAATACACACTTGACCAGAACTGCAACATGTCAAACATAAACCAAGATCTGCCTGGAAACCCTAATTACAAACGTTTCATTCCCAGGTGACATAATCACATCCTGCCTAAAACTTTTGGCCCGCATCCCACCACCCAGATGCTGAAAAGAAACCCCCCCCCCCCCCTTACCACTGGAACCTGTACTTGGGGTTCCTTCAGGGGACAAAGAAAGGGAAAAACTATTCAGAGGTCAGCCTACATGTTCATAAAGGAAAAAGAGCGTGCGTGGCTTATTCATTTGTCTTTCCATTCTTTTGATTGTTGGCATTGTGACTGTGGCTTTGATGAGTAAACTGTGACTGAACGGGAACTGCAGAAGAGAATAAACGCTGGTGCTCTGAAATGATCTACCCAACTCCGTCATCTGTAACAACCAGTGATAACTCTGTTGTCTTGTAAAAAGGGTTTGTACATAACTTGTACATGGTTTCATTTTGTATTTTTCGCAGATTAAAAATTTATGTATTTGTGTTCTAAAACAAGGAGTGTTTCTTGTGTCTTTGTAGAAGTCACATGGCCATGAGGGTGTGGGATATGGTGGTGGTAAACTCTGCCTCTAAGTTCCTTTGGCGTTCTCTCTCTCTCTCTCTCTCTCTCTCTCTCTCTCTCTCTGTCTCTCTCTCTCTCTCTCTCTCTCTGTCTTTCTGTCTTTTTCTGTCTCTGTCTCTCTGTCTCTGTGTCTCCTCTCTTTCTTTCTGGTGAGTGCAAACTTTTGGACTGAATGGAATCCAGCCATGAACTTGCTTTTCCAATTTCAAGTGCAAATAGCCTCCCACATTTTAAAGGAGTCAGTCAGTGCCCTAGACTGCAGTAGGAAGCAGTGGGGCAGAGAAGAGAGCTGCGGGCATTACTGTGGTGCCCTAGAGCCCAGAGGGTCACATGCTGTCGAAGTCTCCAGCGAGCGAGCCATATTTGATGAGCTCTTGAGAAGCAAGAAGGACCTCCCTTCAGCCACATAGAGAAGCAGTGTTTCTTGTGCCTTTTCTCACTAAAACCTGCTAAAGGCATTGGCCTGCTCAAGGCTTGAAACATCAGGCTCCCCCTCTCAACTGCTCCTGAAAAGAACCATGGGTGAAACTTCCTATCCAGGATAGACAACTCTTAAAAATGCAATTTGAGGCTGTGCTTTAGAACTTCAAAATCTTATGAGTTTGAATTCTTTGGGATACTGGATGCCTTGGTCTACAGTTCATTTCCCTCTTCTGAAGAAGAGGAGACAGAGAGTGGGGAAAATGCCACTGGTGCTAATCTACATGTGTATGCCATATTATACATGTGTGGGTTAAAATCGATTAGTATTCAGTGTGCTAGAGATTGCCCCCATTCATTCCTTCATTAGTCAGTTATTAATGTTCCCATTCCTCTACTGGGAGCTGGGGATGCAATAGTGAGTAATGTCACGGTTCCAAGTCTCCAGTCTGGGGAGGGCTGGGACCAACAGGCAAGCAGGTAACAGTCACGTATTAAAAATTGATCTGTAGGAGCAGGTAGAGCACGCCATTGGGAAGACACAAGACAGCCACAGAGCTATCTGCAGAACAATCCACCAATTGATTGATACTTTCACAAACAAATCCTCCCTCTAAGTAAGACAATAATAGCCCAAACCAGAATTCATTCCCAGGGGTCAGGAAAGATAGGTTTACCTGTCAGAAAGTGCCAATTCCTGGCAGTCCTTTGAGCTCCAGTTTCTCATCCTGCTTTCTCCAATATTTGCTAACAAATCTGAATGTTGTCTGAGAATGTAATTGCAGGGCATATGGTCCCCATTAGTTAGGCAAACTCCACTGCCAAATTCAGCTCCAAGGAAGGAGTCTGCATAAAGGATGAAGTATTAGGAAAAGATCGACAGTGACAGAGAAGGCAAATAAAAAAGATGAGATGGTGAGTTACAAAACAGGAGACCCAGTAAACCCAGCACAATGAATGTGGAACATATTTTTCTATTTGTTGAGAAAACAATATATGGGAATTTGTACTAAAGTCTCTCTGTAGCAAAAATCAAAGTAGATCATTCACCCAAATCAATGCTAACTGCTCTACAATGTCAAGCAAGATAGATCCTGCCTGGGAGAAGTGTGTGTGTGTGTGTGTGTGTGTGTGTGTGTGTGTGTGTGTGTGTGTAGGGGAATAGAACAGACAGTAAGCAATGGGAATGACATCAAAATGTAAATACGGACTTAGCACAATTTTAAATATTAGTAGAACCTGACTTTTGAGAGAAGAGGCATGATATTCTGCTCACCAATGTTTCCCACTGTGAAAAGATACACCAAAAATCAGAGATTCAAAGGTTTTCCTTTCAATGATGACCAATTCCTCCTCTGTACTTTTTCTGGTTAATGCACTATTTAACTCTATTGCACACTGCAATACAAGTACAAACTAGACCAGGATGGCTGGTTAGATCAACAAGGAAAGCGCAAGGACACAATGGACAAGCCCACATGGCCTGCAAGACATTGCATTTCTGTGGATTACAGGCAGCGGTCACTACGCTTCTGGATAAGTAAGAGGTCATTCACAAACAGTGCTTGGTGAAGAGATGGTTAAATGGAAACCACTTTCATTACTTGTCAATGGGGCACTAGTGAAATAAATTTGTTAATCCGTTCCACAAGGACTAGGTAACCCTTTAAAAAAGACACAGATTTAAGCACACCAGGATTGATAAACTGTCTGAAAGGCCAGTGCAAGCTGCAGCTTGTTTTTCTATAAAGTGTAGCTGAAACCCAGCTCTATCCATTCACTTACGAATTGTTTGTTACACTGCAGTGGAGCTGAGTTGTGAAAGAGGCTGCATGGCCTGTAAAGCCTAAAATATTTACTACTTACCTTTTCAGAAAAGGTTTACTGATTCTTTTTCTATACTGTAAAGAGGGAGAGAATACAATGTATAGGAAGATCCCAACTATATTAAACACTTAGGTATGTCTATAACTTCAGTAATATTTGGACGGAAATAGGGTCTAGTTATGAACAGTGATTATCAGGCTAGGCAAGAAATAGAGCAGAAATACTAAGGGACACATGAAGGACTTTTTCTTTTTCATTTTAATCATTTCAGTTTTGCTCAGGTTTATATCGATCAAACACGCACAATTTTTATCATTAGAAAAAATGCTAAAGATACTTCTTGTTAGGAAAAATTGAAGAGCTAAGGATCCACTGAATTAAGTAGCATTGTTAGAATGGGAACTCAGTTCTGGCAACTCCACAGACTATGCGAGGATCGGCATCTGGTAGCGGCCCCTGTCCAAGCTGCCTGGACACAGCAGGCGAGTGTGAGACACAAAGGTGAGTTCTCTACCACTCTGTGCACTGTAGCTGCTGAGTACCGAACACGCCAGGCTAACAAGCCTGTGCTTCATTGCACAACAGATTGTTTGTCCTGTAATTGCATCCCCAGTGCCAACATAACATCCCCATCCTCCACACACGGCCGGAAGAGGCTGCGGGCTGGGCAGCCTAATTCCACGCCTCTGGCTACCTGGGTCCTCAAGCCTTCACTTGGAAACCCTGACCTGGGGGCTGGTCTCATTCCACTTTGCAAGACCTACTTTATTGTCAAAGCATTTTCCCAAGACAAGGTATATTCTCCAAGGATCTTTTATCTATTAATTTAATAATAATTAGTTCACTCATTTTAACAGATCATGAATACAAGAGGTATACATTTTCAAGGCATGAAAGGGCAAACAGTAAAAAGAAGTCTCATCTTTAGTTTCTTAGACAGTGCATTTCCCTCACTAGAGACAGCTGTAGATAACTGTTATTTTTCTGGCTTTCCAGAAGATCTCAATTCAAGTATAGTATGCATGATTCAAGTATAGTATGCTATACACTTTGTATTTACTCTATATAACATTTTTAGAAAAATATAAAAATGCAGATTATTTTGTCTCTCCATCAGATTTTATAAGGGCTGCATAGTATTCCTTACACAAAATAACTTGCTAGGTCACTAGCAAGTAATTTATTTATAACTTATTAATGATATAGTAAGTTGTGGTTCATCTTCTTTTTCTTTGTTTTTCAGTGTGTGTGTGTGTTTTCTGTACTAGGTATTGAACCCAGCTCCTCCACCCTGAGCTACAACCACCGATTCTTTATTATATTGATTTTTTGAGATAGAAACTCACTAAGTTACCAAGGCTGGGCTTGAACTTCTGATCCTTCTGCTTCAGGCTCCCAGACTACTGAGCTTACAAGCATGTGCCACCATGCTCTGCTTGGCTTTTTGCTGTTTTATCCACAACTGCAGTGAACACCTTATGCATATATTTTAACAAACTCCTCAAAGTAGAATTGTTCTGTTATTTAGAAACATGTTTCATACATCTTTGATATTGCCAATTACCTCTCAAAGCGGACATCTTCAGTCATAATTTTTACCAACTGCCATGGATTTCTGGTTTGGCACATTCTCTTCAACACAATCTATTATATTAAATATGATGTTCTTGACTGCCTGACTGAAAAGTTGGTCTTGCAAATTAAGAGTCAAAAGTTGAATCAGCCGAGGGGATGGCTGATTCAGCTGTTCCGTGGAGTTGAAGGAGCCAGGTGGTTTCCATTTGTGTGTTCTGCTTACTTACTCCAAAAGTTGGCGATGTGCATGGCCATGGCCAAAGCACAGCTCAGCGATTTCAGCGGTCATGGGCAAACAACGATGGCCTGTTAAGAGGACATTTTCCCTCATGGGTAACTTTTCTTACAGAAGCACTATCATCTGGAGCCACCTGGTGCATTTCCAGCTCATGTGGTTTCTATGATCACATCTGAGACAGGAACTAGAAAAGGAGCTGATGAAGTGTGTGTGTGTGTGTGTGTGTGTGTGTGTGTGTGTGTGTGACTGAGTCTCGGAGCCCTTCTGATGTAGCCCGGTTAGATTAGGATGGGATCATCTCTGCTCCTACACGGTGAGGTGAATGTGTGTGTGTGGCTAACAAAGACAGAGGGGTGGTCACACAGCAAGCTAACGGCCAATCTGAGAGCCGAGAAGTGGATTACTGTCACTTACATTCAAATAATTAAATTATGAACAAAATTAAACATCTTTTCAAATTTATTTTCACTTTTCTCATTTCTATTCTTCTTGCTGAACTTCATGTATAGTTTATTTTAAAGCCATCTAGCCCTTTCATTTGTTAATTGAATTTCTCTTTAAACTCTTCCGACATTCAGGATTTTTCCTACTCCTCATCCCCTGGAATTTATTTTTTGTCTGATGGAGAGGGCCACCACTGCCCTGATGTGATGTAAGTGCTCAGGTGGGTACCTTGAAGTGTGGGGCCAAAGCTGAGAGATTTGAGGACTGTAATGTGTTGATGGGTTCCCTCTCCGCTCACCAGATCCCAAGCAACCTCTATCAAAGAAAATATCATTTGCAAGGGAAGTGGTGTTAATGGTACTGAAAATGGACTATAACCTTCCCAAAATCTCAGAATGTATTTTACATAAAGCAAAGCAAACACAGGTG